GCCAGCAAGGACAAGTGCAGGGCAAGCAGAAGCTTGAGGGCATCGTTCGCCTCGGAGAAAAGGTGTGTGTGTGTGTGCGATGAACATGTGTGCTTGCTTGCTTATTGTTGTCCTTGTCCATTCGGTTATTTCTGTCCGTCTTGTTGTGTCAGTGTCGTCCATCCACAACCGGAAACAATTGTCGTTCGTTGCCGCTCACATTGTGACACCTCTCCTCCCCCCCCCCCTTCCCTCCCCCACATGTGCTTGCACTGAACAGAAAGGGGCGTTTGTTCCTGAGAATGAGCCGGAGAAGGATGAGTGGCGCTGGATCGATATCAAGGTGCCATCATCATCACACACACCGCAAACCGCACACAAACAAGGCGACCGACACACACACACACCGCACACCGCACACAAACACACACACGCACACACACCATCACGCACGCACACAATCACGCACACACACACGCCCTCTCTGTTTCTCACCGACGCTGACAATTGCCGGTTGCCTGCAGACAATGTCGGAAGCGCGAAACACAAAGCCAATCCTCATTGATGTCGTGGAAGGTGAGAAGCATTGTCTTGATTCGCTGCTGCAGAGTGTGATGATTGCACTGTTATGCTCCCGTGCATTACACTGCACGCCATTCCATGAGCGATCCATGCACCACAACCCCTCATCTTCATCACCATCACTGTGTGCGTGTGTGTGTGTGTGTGTGTGTGTGTGTGTGTGTTTAGAGTGCACGCCGCCTGGAGGGATGCCGCTTGGTGGACAGACGCAGATCAACATCCGCAACGAACATATGCAGTACATCATCACTTGGTCCGTCATGGTTGCATCTCTACTGCCGCTGTTGTGCTCTCATGGTTGCTGTCATCACCTCCGCACACTTGTACACTTGTACACTTAAACACTTGCTTTCTTGTTCGCCAGCACAACACATGCACATACACGTGCTCACATACATGTATGCACGACTCACAATCCACGCACACACACCCTGTTTCCTTCCTTCCTTCCTTCCTTCCTTTGCTGGCAGGTATTCGCTCGCAGCGGCCACGTTTGCAATGCTGGTTGTTCTCCGCCGTAACCAGGGCAAGCGCGCGGCTCGAAAGCTCCCGCCCCAGGCCATGAGCGGTCGACAATAGACATGTGCGTGCGTGCGTGTGTGTGTATGTGTCTGTGTCTGTCTGTGTCTGTCTGTGCGTCTGTATGTGCGTGTCTGTGTGTCTGTCTGTGTGTGTGTGTGTGTGTGTGTGTCTGTGTGTGTGTGTGTGTGTGTCTGTGTGTTTTCAGCTGGCTCGCTGCATCATTATCATTAAATGCTCGAAGGAAACGGTCTTGGAGCAAAAACTGCATTTACAAATCGTAGAAAGGGGTACGCACCGCTTTGAAACAAAGCCTGATGGCGCTCCTTGCTTGAGCCAAACAACTCCCATCCCTTTCACACACACACACACACACACACAATCGCACGCACGCACGCACGCACGCACGCAGGCACACATGAGCGCTCATCATCAGCGGTTTGCTGTCCTCACACCTGCGGGAGCGGCAGTACGCTAAATTCTACCGATTGCCGAGAGTAATCCCGACGCAGGAGTCATAACCCTCATATTAGAGAGGCCTGTCGCATGTTGAATTGTGGTGTCAAAAGGTGGTTGCAAGTGACTCATCGAACATGCACTCCCGGCACCCATTTGGCTTTCTCTCTTTCCTCCTCCTCCTCCTCATTATCGCGAGATGACTGACCTCAACCCTGGCCGTGAGATCCTTGATCGTCGCCGCCTGCAATCGCGCCAGTGCTCGCAACTCATCGACCCCCATTGTCTCAATGTCACCTCCATCACCGCCGCACCCCGTCGTAACTGGAGGTGTTGCCGGTGTTGTGCTCGTCGCTTCCACTGCTGATGCGCCAACCAGCGCTCGACCACCGTCATCTTCACCACCATCGCCTTCACCAACACGACTACCATCACCAACATCATCATCACCTTCATCATCATCATCACTACCATCGCTGTCGTTGCTGCGCATGGGAATCACTTCGCCCTGCAGTTCAGCAATGAGCCACGCTGCAACCACATGATGACAAGATGATGTGTTGTGACGCACATGTGAGAGGCGGGCAGCAGACATTTGCCTACATGCACATGCAGAGCACCACCACCGCCGCCGCCGCCACTGCACAAGTGCAGGCGCTTCACACGTGATCATTACCATCCACAGCAAGTAACATGAACCGTACGTGGCAAGTCATCATCGTCATCTTCATCATTGTCGTCGTCGTCATCATCATCATCATCCCTGGGGAATTGCACCGGAATTGCACCATCTTCCCCGTGCTGTTGGTGGTGGTGGTGGTGCTGTTTGTCTCCAACATTGACTCGGATGCGAACGTGTCTGCGGTGTCCACGGGAAGAATGTTGCCAATGCTGCCGCCATTATCATCGTCACCATCATCATCATGCTTGGTGCTGTCGGGCTCGTTGTCTTTGTCGAATGACGCAGCAAACACTGGCGGCAGCAGAAACACACACACACACATGCGATGGATTGGAGTGAGAGGCGCACGAAACAACACCACGCATCAACAGCGCACACGTGTGCTCAGTTAGTATGCATGGTATTGCTGTACCAAAGACGCAAGCAACAACTTGGTACGATACAAACGAATTAAAGTTGTTCGTAGCATACGTCATACACGCAACAATAACCACCACCACCACCAGGCAAGTTCAACTCCACCTGAGTTGTTGCACGTGTCCCCGTGTGCCAGTGCCCCGACGAGTGAAGAGGGGTCGCCCTTGTTCGGATCGCGCGATGATGATGATGACAGCGGGGCCATTCGCCGTGAGCTCTGCACCGCCTCCGTCAAGCACAGCGTCATCGGGCCCTCGCACACGACCTGCGCCACGCCCGTGATGTCCGGGATGACGCGGGGAGCCGGTGAGTCGCCCGCCAGTGAACTCAGACGGTGGTTGGCGGCCTGAGTCGTGACGATGATCGCAGTGGTGGTGGTGGTCGTCGTCGTCGTCGTCGTCGTCGTCGTTGGTGTCATAATTTTAATTGTTCGTGGTGGGAGTAGTTGGTGGTGCGCGTTTGCAGTTAGGTGTCGTATGTGACATGGAGGTGAGATAGAAAGCCGTGATTGGTGGACGAATGGAAACATGGTGATCATGGCGATCAACATCCAATGTCAGGTTGGTTTGCCTGCAAGCAACAACGGCACAGCGCCAGCTCCAAACTTACCGATCCCCATCCGTACAGCGCGCCGTCGCGGGTTGCGGCAATGCAAAACGAATCACCACACGCAACGGACTCCACCTTCACGCCAAGCAAGTCCTTGCCCACGACGACGGGGGAGGTCCGTGGACGCGTGTCACCGGTGCCCAGCTGCCCACTTGAGTTGCAACCGCATGTGATCACGCGGCCACGCACCGTCAACGCTGGGAGATTGGGGCAAGGAAGACGGGTGGGTGGAGTTTAGAAAAGGGAACATGTGGGCAAGGACAAGATGTGGTGGGTGTGATGCGTTGTGTGAGGTTCATAACCACTCAATCAGCCACTCACACGCACGCAAATACATACACTCACACACACCTGCCATGTGATTTGTTCCGAGTGAGACGCGAGCGACGCCGGAGCGCAGAACGTCCCAGCGCACCATCGTAAAGTTGTAGCACGACCGAATGTGACCTGGGGAAACGGCACACGTACGCCAACAATGTGCGTGCGTGCGTGTGTGTGTGTGTGTATGTGTATGTGTGTTGTGTGTGTGTGTGTGTGTGTGTGTGTGTGTGTGTGTGCGTGCGTGTGTGTATGTGTGTGTGTGCGTATGTGTGTGTGTGTGCGTTCAATGCTCAACCCTAAATTCGCGACTGCATCTCGAGAATACGAAGATGCAGAAGACATCAAGCCCGTGAGCACACACGATCACACAACACGGCCAAGATACACAACACCACACAACACCGCACCTTTCCCGACGCCCTTTTCTGCGAGAGATGAGCGACGGCGCTGTGAGAGAACGCTCTCGTTGAAGTTCAGACACAGCTGTGGCAGCAGGACAGAGGATGTGGGCATGAATGCGCGACAGAGTGTGTGTGTGCGTGTGTGCGTGCGCATGCGCGTGCGCGCGTGCATGTGTGTGAGTAAAATGAGAGTCGCGTATGAAGAGATGCAACGACCAGCAGTCGCATCACCCCGACGTACATGTACACACGCGTGCACCATGCAAAACATTCACCCACCCATCCACCGCCATCACAGCAACACCTTGTTGTACTGGTTGTTGCCTGTGACGAAGAGCTGCCCAGACGACGACACAACAGCGCTGGCATCAACACCGCACGCAACAAACTCGGGCGCCGTCAGCGTGTGCAGGTGCACCTTCGTCGGCGTGAACACGTCATCCTCATCACCAAGCCCTGCACATCAGACAGTAGTGATGGTGGTGGTGGTGGTGGTTAGTGGTTGGTGGTTGGTGGTAAACCGGAGATATATGTATGTATATACATATATATATATATATATGTACGCATATGTATTGGGTGGTAGAAGGTGTTGATTTCAGTCATTGGCAGGTAGTGTTGTTGCGTTGATATGTCTGAATGCTTGTGTGCGCACATGCGCAATCACGCGTACGCATGTGCGAGTGTAAGGTGCACACCTACCGAGCTTCCCGTATTCTCCGATGCCCCACGTGTACATGTCACGCCCCTCTGTGATGACGGCAACATGGCTCTCCCCGCACGCAACCTGCTTCACCCGCTGCCAGCACGTGATGTGACGAAGTTCATTGGGGTGCAGAGGCCATGGGGGTAGCAGGAGGATTTGGTCGTGAGGACAACTGAACGGTGCAAGTGGAAACCCAAACCGTGGAAACAATGGCAGGAGTATGGGCAAACCAACGCACATGCAACACATATGCAACACACGCAACTCATATGCAACGCACATGGAACGCACGCGCAACACACATGTAAGCAGGTACAAAGCCCACCCACCATAGATTTGAAGAAAGGGACGAGGATTGGCGAGATTGCATTTCCGCTGTCATCAAATGGCGACTTGATGTTGTTGCTCGTCACCGGCTGATTACCACCACCACCACCACCATCATCAGCATTGCCCTTATCATCATCGCTGCTAGCACCCAAACTATCCCGAGCGTTGTCGTCGTCGTCATCACCATCATTGCTGCCACTGCGCAACGCTACGGCCTGCTGTCGGTTTCCGTGCGCAGTGCTCGCGACCTCATCGTGACTCTTCTCTGTATTCTCGATGCCACTTGTGGTGCTGCCAGTTTCGTGATGATAGCTTACGTCTGCGCCCTTCTCTGCCGTCGCATTCCCGCTGTCACGGAGCGATGACAACACCTGCGCCCTGCTACTCCTCGCACCTGACACACAAACACAAGTGTGTTCGCAAGCTTCCTGTAAGTGACACCTGCCACAGTAAACGCAATCACCAACAACAAACACAGAAATGCATCCACAAAGCCAAAATGTACTCGTACATACACACAACGCACACACAACGCACACACACACACACATCACACATCACACATCACACACGCCACATTCACATCACACCACAAACACACATCGCAGGCATGCGCTTACTCGTCTGTGCTGATTGGCGCAAGTCGCTGTCCGCAACGGCGTCCGGCAGGAGAAACTTGGCGATATCTTCCTCAACATCGACGTCTTCGCCAATGCCGAGACAGCCGTTGAAGTTGGAGCCAAACGCAACGAGCTGCATGGTGCGTTGTGTGTGTGTGTGTACGTGTAGTTGTGGATGTGGATGCATGCATGCGTACGCGCATGTGTGGCAGCGTGGAAGCATAAGCACGTGTGCAGAAGGGCAGGAACACAACACAGAAGTGAACAAAACACACGCTCAACAAACGATCAACACGTGCCCAACACATCAATGTCTCCTTTGCCCAATGAAGGTACATGCAATGTAGCTCACGTTGCCGTTGCTGAGGAGGCAGAAGGTGAAGTCTTCACCACAGGCGACCTGAGTACAGGGCAGTCGGCTCAATGCCTCAACAAGCTGGCCAGGTGGTGGGACGGGTGAGAATGACACGAAGAGAAGCATGGAGTGGTGAGCAGTAATGCGATCAGATGTCTTCTCTGACCAAGCACACGCGAAAACATGCGTGCAAACATATGCAAACAGACACACGCACACGCTCGCGCACACGCATCATGAACCTGTGCACGAGAACAATGCGACACCTTTGGCTGGCGCTGTGACGCGACGTTCCCATGACCGAGCTGTCCGCTGGAAAATCCGTCCACTTCGGACATTGCGCCTCCAATCGACCACGTGTACACACGCATATCCACCGTGCACACGGCGCAGTGGCCACTGCCAATCGCCAGCATGTGGGCGGCGTTCGTGGAGGAGAATGTGCCCATGAGCGAGTGTGCCTTCCCGCCGCCCCACACGTACAGCGATGTGGTCTTGGCGACGAACACACCAGACGATGAGGGCAGGCGTGACGACGACGATGACGACGATGAGGCAGTCCGACCACTCGCCAGCTCGGCAATGGACAGCATGCGGCGAAGCTGAAAGGTTTCGGCAGTCCGACCACTCGCCAGCTCGGCAATGGACAGCATGCGGCGAAGCTGAAAGGTTTCGGTGTGTGTGTGTGTGTGTGTGTGTGTGTGTGTGTGTGTGTGTGTGTGTGTGTGTGTGTGTGTGGTTCGCTGAAACAATGCTCGCCCGCAACGCAGTTAAGAACAAATGTACACACATCCGCCACGAAGCAAACCAAGGAATGTTACACGCATGCACAACAGCCCCACCTTTGCATCGAACGTGCTGCTGTGGTGCTGCATGATTGGCGAGTCCAGCACCTCCTGTGCCGATGGTCGAACCGACGCGTCAACCTCCAGCATCGACGTGATCGCAGACTGCAGCTCGCGCGAGTACGTGCGGTCGCTGGTGGTGTGATTGGGCAGTGGCGGTGGAGGAGGTGATGGTGAGTTTGGTAGTCGTAAACGTGGGGCACAAGCAAGCTGGCGAGAAGAGACGTGTATGTGTGTGTGTGTGTCTGTGTGTGTGTGTATGTCTGTGTGTGTATGTCTGTGTGTGTGTGTCTGTGTGTGTGTCTGTGTCTCTGTGTGTGTCTGTGTCTCTGTGTGTGTCTGTGTCTCTGTGTGTGTCTGTGTCTGTGTCTGTGTCTGTGTGTGTCTGTGTCTGTGTGTGCGTGTGTGCGTGTGTGCGTGTGTGGGTGTGTGTATTTGTGCGACATGAGTGTTTATGCATCCCATTCATACGGGTATGCGTTCCCAACATGCCCACGCAACCAACCCATGGCGCACTTGTAACTACATCTGCGAGCACCTAACCCACCAGATGGGGGCGTACTGCTGGGCCATGACTCGGTGCATGATTGCGCCCATGTTCGTCGCCTGGAACGTGCGGTGGAGTGTGCACAGCTCATGCACAACGCAGCCGGCGGAGAACACGTCGCACTTGCCGTCATACTGCTGCCCTGTGTCAGGAATTGTGTGTATGTGTGTGTGTGTGCGAACGTGTGTGAAGGTGTGTGTGAAGGTGTGTGTCAACGGCATTGCTGATGAGGAAAATTTCAAGACGCGTGCAACAGCACAGAGCACCACACACGCGCGCGTGTGCGCCATCATCCTCGCCAAAACAACAACAGCAACAACAACAAGCATGAGTTCCTGTCCACACCTTTGAACATCTCTGGGGGCATGTAGTATGGCGTGCCCACCATCGTCTCTGCGTGCACGCTGTCAGACAACACCTTGGAAATCCCGAAGTCGCCCAGCTCTGGTCGCCAGAAGTGACATGCAAGTGGGCAGTGTGTGTGTGTGTGTGTGTGTGTGTGTGTGTGTGTGTGTGTGTGTGTGTGTTGTTGTTGTTGTTGTTGTTGTTGTTGTTGTTGTTGTTGTTGTTGTTGTTGTTGTTGTTGTTGTTGTTGTTGTTGTTGTTGTTGTTGTTGTTGTTGTTGTCTCCTCTTCTGCCCCCACACTCTCCTGGTCCGCCTTTTGTGCGCCTGCCAGTGCCTCCCTTTTCCGATTGCAATGGTGCGTGCACACGTACTCAGGATGCCGTGTGATGTCATGAAGATGTTTTCGCTCTTGATGTCCCTGCAGGCACAATACAGTCGCGGAGAGAGAAACCACCGTAAGCAGCACACAAAGACAACGAACAACACACGCACACACACACAGCACGCACACTTGCACACATGCACACACGCCTTACCTGTGTAGAACGCCACAGGAGTGGACGTGAGCGAGGCCTTGAAAGAGCTGCCATGCAAGGAACAACACTACACGCACCCAGGATCATCACCCATATCAGTCCAAGCGACGCAAGGACAGCGAGAAGCAGCATCTCAGGTTGGAAGCATGCATGAAAGCACACGCGCAAACGCACATGCAAGCCCTCCCCCCCCCCACATGATCACACACCATCCTGTTGTGGAATGAGGGTGCCATTTCTGTCCTCAATCAGCTGGCGTAGGTTGCCTGCGTCTGCATACTCCATCTCGATGAAGAACTTGGAGCGGTCCTCAAAGGCGTCAAAGTACGTGACGATGTTCGGATGCTTAAGCAGAGCCAGTGTCTCGCTCTCCGCAACCGCCTGAAAAAAGTGAATGGAGCACAATGAGTGTGAGATGAGTGAGCGATGAGCGAGGGATGAGCGAGCGATGAGCGAGGGATGCGAGCTGTGTCATAGAACTGCATGAACACGCATGTGATATGATGTGTTATGGAAGATCTGCACCCGACCTAATCTCACGTCTCATGAAAATGGGAGTGACAACGAAACGCACAGGTGTGTCTCTTTGATACACACGCGCGCACACACACACACACACACACAGACAGACACACACACACACACGCACACACACACACACAGACACACACACACACACACACGCACACACACACACACACACACACACACACACACACACACAAACACACACACACACCACACACACACACCTTCTCGCGGGCATCGCGCTTGACGCCGCCGATGTCGCATTCCTTGACCACGACCAGGCTGCCGTCTGCACGACGATACAGGGCGGCAAGCCCAAACGCGCCACGCCCCAGCACACGCACCCGAACATGCTCCCCCATCACTGATGGTAGCTTGTTGATCCCATCCAGCAAAGCCAAGCAAGCGAGTCAGCAATCCTGCGTCAAGTCGATCTGTCTATGCACACATGCACACAGCAGCATTAGGAGATGAATCCTCCCTACAACCATCAAGCGTCAAGCTTCGCCAACAAGCGAGCGAGCTTGTTTGCGCACTGTGTCACTTCATGTCATGTCACAGCACATCGCAACAGTGCAAGCAAGGTTGGCAAGCAAGGTTGGCAACAAGGCAGTCATCGTTGGTGTCACCTTCTGTCCTTCGTCGTCACTTAAATTCCGCTGAAATTCACGCACACGCACGAACGGATACGAGAAGAAGTCAACAAGCAACAAGGGTGTGGTGGTGCCAGCTTGCTTCTGTGTATGTGCTGATCACCTTGTAGGCTTGTGTGGATGCTGGCGAGAGGCTGAGTGGCGACGCGAGCAGCAAGCCAAGCAAGGCGAGCAGGCATGGATGACCTTGCCCAGCTGCGGGAGCTGTCTGAATCAGCGCTCGTCAAGCAGCTGTCGTCGCGATTCTCCAAGGATGTCATCTATGTAAGCATGGGTGTTGAGATGTGGATGTTGATGTTGATGCGAGTGCGTCATGTGGGTGCTTCAAGTGTGTGAGGGCTTCGCACCAGACGGCTGGTTGTCCGGCTGCACGAATGCCTGTGACGCTGTTGATGGCTGTGGTGAGGCGTTTGCGTGGGTCACTGTGCTGCACAGCTCATGCCTGCTGTGTGGATGATGACATCCATGCTTGGATCAACAGACATACATTGGTGACATCCTCGTGGCGTGTAACCCTTACCGGGAGCTGGGCCTCTACACACAAGCGGTGCGTATGTGTGTGTTGTGT